TAGAAGCTCTTCTGGCATTTTTTTCTTAATACTTCAGGCTTGCAAGTGTGTAAATGTCTCATCTGAAGCCGAGGTGAGATCCTGCCTATCCAGCCTGTGGGGAGCCAAGATGATCTGCCTCTGGATGCTCCCTGCTGGTACCTTTGGGATCATCCTCAGGGCTGAGGGGCTGCACTGAAAGGCAGGGGGGGTCATGGGAGCATTGTGGTGTGGCTCCTTGGCCAGTCCTTGATGTTGGGTGTCAGGGTGCAGCGTTCTGTGTTTAATTGAGTTTGGTTAATTGGCTGTGAGCTGTGGGCACAGCATCATCAGGGAAAGGGGGGTGTGCAGCAGGGCAGGGGCAGGCTGGCAGTGTGGAGATGAGGGGGCTCTTCCTCAGGAGCTGTAGTGATAGAAAAAGGAGTAATGGATACAAATTGAAAGAAGGGAAATTTAGGTTAGATATTAGGAAGAAATCCTTCCCTGTGAGGGTGGTGAAGCCCTGGCACAGGTTGCCTGGAGAAGCTGTGGCTACCCCATCCCTGGAAGTGTTCAAGGACAGGTTGGATGAGGTTTGGAGCAACCTGGGCTATTGAAAGGTGTCCCTGCCCATGGCAGGAGGGTTGGGACTTTAAGATGATCCTTAAAGTCCATTTCAACCCCTTAACATTCTGTAAGCAGGAGACGAAAAGGGACCACAAACCCTCACGCTCGAGAAGTTATCAAGTGTTGTGACTCAGGGGCGTTACACGATCGGGCTGCCACACTCCTCTTCCCGAGGCGCGGGTGGATGGGATGAGGATGGAAAGATGAAATCCCGAGGCGTCCCGGCGGAGCGGCCGCGTGGTGCGTGCGGCAGGGAAGCGATGCCGGGATGTGCCGCATCCCGGGATCTCAGCGCGGTCCTGCCGCGGTGCCACGAGAGGGCAGCAGGGCCTCACGGACCGCCACGGCCACAACTGTCCCGCCGTGACCGGGACCCCGCGTCCCCCCCCTCGGCGGAGGGTCCCACGGGCTGCCCATTGTGGGGTCCGCACTCGCAGCCTGCATCCCTCCGGCCACGCTGAACCCGTGCCTTCGCCCAGGGGATGTCATTCCCACGTGGGATGCCGTGCCACGGGATGGCTGCGTGTCCCAAAAGTTGGGTAGTGGTTCCCTGGGGAGCCCTTCCTTGCCCACGTGTGAGCCCCGGGATGTGGGTGCTGGTGCCTGCTTGGAGGTCCCAGCAGCAGGGGCTGATGCTGTGCTTCAAGGAATCAGAGAGTGGTTTGGGATGGAGGGGACTTTAAAGCTCATCTCATTCCACTCCCTGTCATGGGCAGAGACACCTTCCAGTAGCCCAGGTTGCTCCAAGCCCCATCCAACCTGGCCTTGGATGCTTCCAGGGATGGGGTAGCCACAGCTTCTCTGGGCAACCTGTGCCAGGGCCTCCCCACCCTCACAGGGAAGGATTTCTTCCTAACATCTAATCTAAATCTGCCCTCTGTGAGCCATTCCCTGTTGTCCTGTGCTATCCTTCTCACACACGTGGATGCATGTGACAGAGAAGCACTGCTGACTCCCTCCTTTCTCCCAGCAGTGTTTGCCCATCACTAACAGTGGGCAGCACTAAATCTGTCCAGGCTCTTCGCAGACCTGGTGGTGACCGCACTGACAATACCTCAGTGCAAGAGAAATTCTCAGGAAAACACATCTATTGATTTTCTTTCCAACTCCCTTTCGATGGATTTGCCAACAAACAGGGTATTATTCCACCAGGTGATAAACAGTGGATGTGTCCTGGCTGTAAGCCCCCACTACCCTGCCCATGGTGGCACTGGGTCTGTCCAGTGGAGGGTGGGGTACAGGGAAGGTGGACCAGAATTCCCTCTTCCGTAAAATGCAAACCCCAAGTCCTAAGTCAGCCTGGCTGAGCAGCCCATTGGTGTTGGTGGGGTTAACCTGGTGAGCCTGGAGGAACCCCTACCTGGGTCAGTTCCTGATGTTCCTTTTACAGCTTCAGCTGGAGAGCATTCTCTCCTTGTTCCCAGCATTTCTGCTTTTGAAGAGCTACCACATCCTACCCCTGAGGTGGCTGCATTCTTGTGGGAAGTGGAGTGATTCCCAGTTTTGGAATGACTTGGGAATCTTTTGGAAGAGGTGCTGTATAAAATGCCAGACCACTAGCAAAGCCAGTGTCTCCTGGGAGCTCTCAAGACCAAAGAGCACTGCAGTGCAAAGGAATTAGGTATTATGCTGTTTCTGTTGTTATAGCAGTGGTGTTATCATGCTCCCCTCTTGTCCAGGCACCAGGAGGTGCTGCTGGTAATGCTGGAAGTGTTTCCCACACCAGCAACTGCTGCATCCTAAGCAGGGACCCCTGTGTGCAGTCAGTCACCTCGTGCTGTGGGATTATAAGATCCTGATGAAGCCCAGAGACAGAGCCAGGTACCCCAACAGGCAAATGCTACCTCTGCACACCCTGTGCTGCTCATCCTCCCTTTCTTACGCAAGGCCTGACGCCTGGCACAAGGCTGCTATTTAATTTATTTTGTTGTGGTGTTGTTTTTTTGGAGTTTTTTTTTCTCCCTAAATACATATTCGAGATAAACAAACTAATAACTCCCACAAGTTGCCGTGGCGTGTCTGACCACATCCGCGGCGCTCTGCTCCCAGACAGATGTTGCCAGCGTTCAGCTGAGTTGCCAGCAGCGTTAGCAAAAGCATGTTCAGATTCAGGGGTTGATAAGGACTGCCTGTATCCTCCCTGCTGCAGCCCCTGCAGCTGAGCCTCATCCTCCTGCCATAATGGGACCTTTGGAGCGCCCTCGCAGTGATCACCTGCAAAGCCCTTCCCCAGGAGTGAAGCTTTGCAGGAGTAATCAGAGTGCCCTGGGAGGTTATCCTGTTCTGTATAGGTAATAAAAGCCAGGCTGAGCCTCCAGGAACATGTGGTTTCTTCAGTTCACTGTCAGGTTTGCCATGGGGAGAGTGGGCTCCATCCTGAGCCCACTCCTTGCATGCAGGTGGCTGAGGACATAACCAGAACTCATCTCAGAGGTAGGAGAGGGGGAGATAGAGGGACCTTAATCCCTTCTTCCCAGGCTGTAGTTGCAGTGGCAGGTCCAGGAATATGTTTTGGAGGCAAAATACCTCTCAGATCTGAGTAACATCTCTGTGAGATGCCACAAGTGGTGGGGTGATGTGGGTGGGACAAGACAGAAGCACCATCTCTGTTGAGGAAATCTTCAGCTTTCTAGGGATGAAACACCTTGAGCTGATGCTTTCAACCCCTTGAGCAAGCAGATGAGGGAGAGTGGTCTATAATTCTTTGTTATAGAGCCAATAATTCAGGAAGGAAGGCTTGATATCCTGGTGCCAATCATGAGATAACTGATTCCACTGTCTTTTCAGCTCTGTGTTCATGTCCTCCCTTAAAGCATGGCTCTAAAAATTCCTTCCCCATGGAGGGTCTCTGAAATCGCTGATTCAGCTCTTGTGAAGAAGTTTTGCAGCCCAGAATTGTAATTAACTTCTTTCTTTTGTACAGTATTGATGTTAAAAAAAAATGTTACTCTTGTGCAGAAGCGAGAAGAGGCTCATGATATCTCCCTGTAATTTCCTTCTTTGTGAGCCACTCAGTTTTTTAAGGTTTCAAGGCTTTCCCTTGTGAGACTTGAAGTTGCCTGGAGCTGGTCTTCTAGAAAATAATCTCTCCATAACCAGCTCCAACTCCTATTTTCCATGTCTGTGCACACCAGTGTCTCCCTAGATGTTGAGACATCTCACAGCCTTGTTTTAATTTATCTTAGCAACTCCCCTCCTTTTATTCCGCTAAAAGATGAGTTGGTTGGAATTTGCTCATTCTTCCTGTGACAGCTTTGATCCTGTGCACAGAAGTGTTCCCTGACAGCCAGACAGCAGGGAAGGGCTGTCCCTACCCTGGAGGGCTCTGGGAGTCATGAATGAATATTGTGTTTATTTGTATTTCTAACTGACTAGTGCCTTGCCAGATCAGCTGCATGTCCCTGCAAGCACAGGGTATTGACACATCCCTTGTTCCTCTTCAGCTCCTTCTTGGGACTGGGAATTTGTTGTTGGAGGCAACAGCCATCCAGCTCATGGTGTTGGGCACAGGATGAAGAAAAGCTTTTCTTCTGTAGATGTGACACCAGGGTATGGAAGTTGGGCCTTCTTAGATCAACCCATCTGTAGACAAAGCATTTAAATTGGAATTTAAATTGTGGAGGGCAGAGATGGGAGTCGTGTCTCCTTCGCTCAGGGTATCACCAGGGGTGATACTTCCCTTGTCCTTAGCAAGTCTTTGGACAGACATAGAGCGAAGCAAAGGCTCTCCACTTTTGTCTCCCTGTGCTGAAGACCACCAGGAGGTTTCACAGGGGGTTTCAAAGGCCTGATTGTTTCCTTGAGGCAGAGTGTTGATAGTTTGGGTTTGGTAATGCCTTCATCTGTGCGGTGAGTTTGTTCCCATACCTGCTTATCCCCCCTGCCAAGGGCTTCATCCCTCCATGCTCCCTCTTTGCAGCCTCTTTGGGTCCTTCCCAGCACCGTGGATCGTGTGTCACTCAAAAGGGTGACCTAAGGACCACAGAGGCTAGAGGGGGCTGGCATTGGGGTGAGGGTGAAGGCACTCAGCTCTTCGGCCTGGTCCCTTTGGGAGGGTTTCTCTTCGGCATTGAAGATAATACTGGGCTGGTTTTGTTTCATTTTGGAGCACATAAAGTGAACATGCAAGTTAGAAAAGAGAAGACTGGGAACACAACTTAGAAAAGAGAAGAAGAACATGATAAGTTCTGTCACTCTAGAAGTGCTCTAGAGTGGAAATGGTCACACTTCCAAGCAATGACATGAAAATCCTGTTTTTCTCCTTCTCTCCTCAACCTTTCTGGTTTCCTGCTCCCACCTGGCCTAAACCTTCAGCAGCTGCATTTATCCTGACCGCAGCAAGGTTTGGGTTTGGGAAGAGGACCGTGCCGAGATCTATTTAATGTTGTTTGGTTTCTTCCCTCTCCCTACACCAGAAACAACTGAGCTTGGGAACAAGAAGGAGCTGAAATCCATGCCCTTCATCACGTACCTGTCAGGCCTGCTGACGGCACAGATGCTGTCTGATGACCACCTCATCTCCGGTGTGGAGATTCACTGCAAGGAGAAAGGGCGCTGCCCCTCCACCTGCCACCTGTGCCGGCGCCCCGGGAAGGAGCAGCTCAGCCCCACACCGGTTCTGCTGGAGATCAACAGGGTGGTGCCTCTGTACGCCCTGATCCAGGAGAACGACACCAGGGAGGTGAGTGAGCCAGAGAGGGACCAGCCCCACCTCTGTGATCCTCTCAGCCCCCTCTCCAGTCGCTGCAGGAATGTTGGGTTCCTTGGGGTGAGGTGGTGTTTTGGTGTGTGTGTTTGGAGGGGAATGCAGCGGGATGGTTTCAGGGATGGAGCTGGCAGATCCTGCTGCCCACCACCCACAGCCCTCTCAGACCTGCATCTCCCTGCCTTTGGTACAGTGAAGGCAATGCCATAAGCAGCCAAGGCCACAGTCATTCCCAGTGTCCACCAGTGTGCAGGATGTGTCCTGTGGAGGGGTCTCAGGAGCCAGGCATCGGCTCAGTCCTTCCCTCCTGGCTCTGAGATCTCGGATGTACCTGTGTGAGGGGTGGCCAAAGCCCTGCAGGGCTCAACAGTGGCTTTTCAAAGCACCTGTGCAGAGAGAGTGAACAACCAGCCCCCCGGGACAGTCCCACAGCCACAGGAGGTCACTGTTACTCCAGGAGGGGCCAGCCAGGCTGCAGGCCACCCTTCTCTGGGGCTTGGACTTCTGCAAGAGCTTCAGTGTTAATCCTATGGAGATTGATTTCCCTCTTCCTCGGTTCGCTGCCACCCCTACCCCCCTCTGCAGCCCTCTGACCCCAATCTCGAGTCCAAAAATGACAGACCTGCTTAAAGTCACTTATTAGCACTGAGCCTGCACTTGATTAGGATGCCTGGAGTGAGCCAGTGCTCAGCAGCTGTGGGTGGGATGCAGAGGGCTGCAGGTCAGGAAACAATCCTGGCACATGGAGGTGTGACCACCAGGAATGATGCTTCATCCTCTTCCCAGATCCACAGGCAGAAGAGCCCCCATGCTTCTCCTGGCACCGAAGTGCCTTATGGGCACTGTCCCTCCTTGTTTACCTCCTGATCTTCTTCCTGCTATCCCATGTATCAGGCCATTTGGTTCTTCCATGCAACCGTGCCTGACTTCCATACCTCAGTTCCCGTCTTTTCAGCTCTTTTCCCCCAAACTCCCTTTCTCCCACTATTTTTAATTCCTGCATTCTTTCCCCACCTATGCCTGCTCTTCCCAGTGGGCAATCCTTGTGTAGACATTGACCTGCTGTTATCAGCATGTCCAGGGCAGTGCTGGGATGAGGCATCACGGGTACAGGGAGAGCAGTGGGAAAGCTGGTTTCCTTCAAGCAAAAAAGATGTGCTTCCCAGCAGCAATCCACAGGAAGACATTCCTTTTGGGATACAAGAGATAGGTTAGCCAGCGGGGAAGGGGTAACTGTGAAAGCAAGCAGGATCTGGAGGATCTCCATGGACACTGTTCATCACCAGGTAGCAATGCTGTCCTGTCTCTCTGGTCCTGGCTGCACAAGGTCCCCTCCTCCTCCTCCTCCTCCTCTTCCTCACCTGTCCCCTCAGCCCTGCCAATGCTGCCAAGCTCACTTGGGGTGCATCCTTGTCCTGGGGAGCTGGAGCCTGCGTTTCACCAGCAGCAGCCTCTCTCCCTCCCTCCCTGCTCCCCTGGCTCCTGCAGGGGCTGGCCCCTTCAGCTGCAGCTGGAGCACAGCCCGCATTGTGCTCTCTGCTGAGGCGCCGGGAAAACCGGCAAACAAACACGCAAACAAACACAACCCCAACGAGGCAACAAACCAGAGACACCCCAGACATCTTCCAGGGGGCTGTGCTCCGTGCATCCCTCCTCCTCCTCTTCTGCTTCCACCTGCTCACCCAGGGGTGGAGGGGCCTGTCTGTGTAAGGGGGTGTGTGACTCTGCTCTCCCTTCACCCCAGGGAGCTGTTGATCAGCAGTGCTGGGGTTAGAGGTGACAGGGCGAGGGATTTGGGTGGCTGCAGGATGGAGTTTGCTACCAGAGGGGATGCCCAGGGGACACTGGGAGCTGGCAGTGAGCAGCACATGCCAGGACAGATCACCTTTTCCATCCACAGCGGAGGGTTCTGGGGTGGGTGGGTTCACACTGTCTTCTCTGACCACCACCCCCCAGCTGGTCTGGGTCTTGTTTTGGCTGTGGGCTTCTCTTGACAGCAGGCCCTCTCATCCTCCTTCTCCCTACAACCCATCTGAGACCATCCAAATCCTTGCTGCAGCAGGAGTGCTTTTTGCCTTCCCTGGCCATTCCCATTCCCTTAGCATGAAACCCTTGTGCTGCATCAATTCCAGAACTCTCCTTTCCCCTTCTTGTTCACTTCTGATCCACTGTCCTGCTCCCTCAATCCCTTCCTCCTCAACTTGCTTCTTGCCCTTCTCTCCACCAGCCTCTCTCCTGCAGGATTTTTATTCTCTCCCTCTCCCCCTGCTGCCCGTGTCCCTGTGGGCAGGGATGAGTCCCAGTGCCTGGGGGCTGTGTCACACCACTGCTGAGGTGCCACCACGGCACAAACCTTGGCTCTTGGCACGGGAGGTTTTGCCGAGCTGGGCAGAACTGTGCCTGTCTCTCTGGAGGACGTGGAGCTGATGGGGCCATGTCCCTGCCCTAGAGAGGGTGGTTTGGTGTGGGGTTAGTGCTACCTGTATGAGAATATGTCCCCATCCTCTTGTGACATTGTGAGCTCAGTGACAAGGGGTTCCCACAGGGGCAGGAATGTGCCTTCCCCTCATCTTCCCTGACAGGTGTGAAGGCAGGGAGGGTGATCATGAAAGGGAAAGGGGTTTAGAGGTGTTGGGGAGCTGCAACCACCACGGGGCCATCACCAAAACCCAGCAGTGTGCCCTGGTGCCCTGGAAAGCCACCAGTTTAACCATGACCTCTTGCTCTGCACTCCGGGAGAGGCTCCCTCAGGGTGGGTGCCATCAGGAGCATCTCATGTACCATCTGGATAATGAAATGTCCTTCTTCAGCAGCAAGTAGGAGGCCAGGGCGATCCCAGGCGCTGCAGAGTGGTGTTCACCCATGGCATAAACATGATTTGCAGATGCCTGGGCTAAGCCGAGGCATCTCCAAGCACAGCCTCCACAGCAGAGCTCTCCCCTGCCTGCCTTTCACTGCTGGGGTGTTTGATCCTCAGTCAATACAGCAAGTGCTGGCTTCCTGGGAACTGCAGGCACATTCCAATTCCCGTGTAGTATTAAAAAATTAATAATTGTAAACAGTGGAGCTCTTCCTCTCCGCATACATGTCCACATAGTTAATGCTGTATGTGTACAGAGAGAAAGCCAGGTCATTAATGAGGTGGATATTAACTTCTATAAAGTTGGCTGAAAGGTTTTGCTGTATAAGCCCAGCAGCAGATATGAGGCAAGACACAGGTAAAGACATTTTGCCCTCTTCAGTATGTGGTTTGTTTTTTTTTTTTCAATAGGTTTGTCTTTTCATCTGCCTCAGAGCAGTGAGTTACGCACTTCCTAAAATTTACAGCTACCACCCCATCCAAGGCCATGTTCTCGGTTGCTGATGACCTTGCCAGACTCTTAAGTGCTGGGGTTTAAGTTTCCACACTGGGTGTCTGCCTTGGGCTGATTTGTGATTTTTCTTTGTGTGCATGTTTGATTTCAGCTAAAACTGACCGTTTCCAAGGGAGAGATTAGGTGAAAATATATTACTTTGCCCACGTGAAATAAGTTGGAAAACTCTTTATTTCCATGTCATTGGGAATTGCTGTTTTCTTCTTGCTTTGAAGCAAGAACTTGAAATTTAAAGGACTTCAGGAGGTTTTTTGCTGCCCAGGGAGCATTTGTCCTGAGGCATTTGTACTGTGAGTTCAAGGAAACTCTCAGCTGTGTGTGATCTGTCCTCCCAGCCCAGCTCCAGCACCACTTCTGCTCCCAGCAGTGGGGAGGAGCAGTGTATCAGGGCCCTCTTTTCCTTCTTGGATGCGATGAAAACTACAGATTGAGCCCCTGCTGGGAGTTTCTTTTGTTTCTCCCTGTGGTTTAATGTGTTCATCAGAGAACTTGCCTGGTCACTGATAGCCTCAGCCTGGCTGGGGACTGTGGCAGTGCTGGGCAAAGAGTTTCCCAGGTTCAAGAAGATGTGTTTGAAGGACTAAGCACCTTTGAAGGGTTTTGTTGAATGTCTTTTTCACAGTTGTTACAAATGATGTGTCTGTGGGTGGAAGGTTTCACAGCAAGGACTGCTTGCTGGAGCAGAGGCAGTGCTGGATTCTTCTCTGCACTGGTCCCCATCAGCTGGTGACATTCAGCTAGTCCAGATAAGTTTATAGCACCATTGCTGTCGTAGCTCCATTGCTCCTCAGTCTTGAATGCTCACACTGTGAGTTTAAAAGGTGTGAAAATCCAGGGAAGCTGTGACCTTGGCTTCACCTTCCAGGGTCTTCTCTGGATGTCTCTGGAACCTGCATCATGTTTTGATCTACGCCAGTGTCCTAACATCTCCCTTCTGCTTCCTTTGTACTCTGCAGCAGTGCAGACCCCAGAGTGGTCCCTCTATTGCTGTGTGCAGGTGAAGCTGGAGGAGTTTCTCCGCTGCAAGGCTGTGGAAGAAACCTCCACCAGTGTCAGTGGCTGGCCAGGACCAACAGCAAAGAGTTTCTATCTGTGGTGGGGCTTTCTGCTGGCAAAATGCCCTCCAACACCTCAAGGGCGGGCTGTTGTTGAGTGCATGTGGTGTGAGAGAAAAGAGATGTGGTGACCCTGGGTGCTTTCCCTCTAGTGAACATCCTGGAGATGTTCACTAGAAGAGTGAACACTAGAAGAATGCTCCTCCTGCCCTCACCCCGTGCCATGGGGTAGGAAACATCCTTCTTACTGCCCAGCACAGCCCTGGAGTCCACGCAGAGGCACAGGCTGAGACAGGGAGATCCCGGGTTTCTGCAAACTTCCTTGACCCTTGGCTGGGCTGCAGGAAGGCAAGAGGCCCTAGGAAGAGCAGGCATGTCCTGTTTCCCCATCCCTCCCAAGAGCACCTTTGACAGGGATGCTCATGTGCATGGCTGGAGCCACAGGGCAGCTGTGGCCAGTGGAGGGGAGAAAAGGGAAGGCATGTTGAGCAGTGTGGTCCCTCCTGTTTTTGCTGTTTGTTTTCCCCCCAAAAAAAACCCCTGAAAC